CTCCATTTTTCCAGATCCTGCCCTTTTATGCTTTTTTCTTCTTCTTTCCTGCTTTAAAAAACTTTTAAATATCCAGAAATCTTTATTATCCCTTTGACTTTTATTTTCAGCTTAGATGCCTATTAATGTCAAAGTGGATTTTTTTCAATTTCTTGCTTAAGTCTCTTAGCTGTCAGTATAAGGAAGGGAAGAAAAAAAAAACCTAATCCTTTCCCTTCTCTCTCTCCTTCGCAGCTTCAAAATCTTCTTTGGGAATAATGTTATTTAATTTAAATTCCAGGGTACCTTACGTTGTTGCTTTTTCAGTTTAACCCGGTCAACCAAAACTTTCTCTTCTTATCTTCCTCCTGCACATTCTTTTCCAGTTCAGTTCTTCTTTGAGGTGGCCATTTCTGACCAGCCCTGCAACCGCCTTCGGGAAAGGGAGTAATGGCCAGCTGGGAAAGAGAGATGCAGCTCTCCTCGACCCTGCTGGCAGTCTCCCCCTTCTTCACCACCTCTACAGGGTGGCTTAGCCCCGAAACCAGCTGGCTCGGGGCACTCTGGCGGCGAGCACAGATCGAAACCGCGTATGATCGCAGATTTCGGTCTGTCGCCGAAGAGACTCAAACCGGAAGCTCGAAATGTCTTGAAAGAATTTTTGATATAACTGCCAAGAAAACTATGTGAATATGTTCATGTCAGGAGTTGACTATGATTTGTACATCATCATTTTAGACATTGTCTATCCATTGCTAGATGAAGGCCTCTTCCGTAGATTTCCAACCAATATGGTCCTGAACTTTCCTTCGTGAATTGGGCCCGCAATACTTGCTGATGTCTTCGATCCATCTTGTTTTAGATCTCTTTCATGGATGTTTTTTTTTAATCAAGTGGGATCCATTCTATGCCTTGGTCCACCTGCCATCAGCTCTTCTTGCTTATATGAACAGCCCATTTCCATTTCAATTCTTTTACTCACTTGGCGTATTCAGTAGTAAACAGGCCTCCTTGGAGGTATGTGTGCGAGAACATAACCTGAATATCTACTCTGTTATGAACTGAGACATTTGGACAGGAAACAGCAACATCCACAAGGTCACCCTGCTTTTGTCACAAAGACTCACTGCTTTTGTCAGCCCTTCCTCACTCTCCTACCATCGGGTAGGAGATATGGAAGCATAGGCAGCCACACCAACAGGCTGAAGAACAGTTTCTACCCGTGGGCTGTCAGACTTCTGAATGGAAAATAACTTCATGTTAGCATAGTATGATAGACTTGGGGGGCCTGTGCGTTGTGCAACAAGGTCAGATAGGGTAATAAGATTGGGTCTGGGTTAGGGACTTCTGTCCTCGCTGTGAGTTATGTTGGGGTGGGTGGGTGCACGAAGGGAGTCTCAGCCAATCTCATTGTACACATGTTGTACTCTGACAATAAAGGTAATAATAATAAGATGAAAGCTGTTCCAAGGCACCATATTATATTTTCTGTGCCTTCTGGGTTGTGTGTATGGTATTGCAATGCATGTGGGAAAGGAGAGGGGCTTGCATCACCATTTCCCATCTTTGCTTTCCTCAGTCCAGCCTGCCCACACCTGTGGACATCATCAATAGGAAAAGACAAAGTTTCCTAATATTTGTAATCCTTGGTTTGTAGGAGATGCTACCAAATGACTCCGTTTTTCTTCCCAGACCAGATAGATTTTAAAAGCAGAATTTAGCTTCGCGTTCTGGGAAGTGCCAGAAATTCTGAAAAAGAACAGTCCTAAATCTTAGAACAAAAATGCTAACACTTTCCGAAAACTGGTGGCCACCGGAGCTGTTCTTTTGAACTAATGTTCATCTTTGCCCATGTGGTGCCAGTTGATAAGGCCAAGGGCAGTTCACTTGAGTTCCAGCTGTAGTGTTTTTCTGGATACAGCTCAAGAGCTGATTTTACTAAATTAGCCTTTTCTTTTAAAGGGACGTGTCATGTATTCTGTGACTCCCTAAGAAACAAGTTTAGAAAAAGTAGGGTGGGACGAAAGACTGGGCTGGTTGTAGTTTCTGCTTTTTCTGTTTGCAGAGTAGAAAAATATATATTAAATGAGCTAGTGGCAGTTTTGGTGCTAACCAATATAGCAAACTTTTTAATATTGCCTTAACTGCTTGCCAGACACAAGATCGACAGTGTTGGGAGTTATGCAAAAATAAAATAAAATAGACCAACCGACTGAATAGTGAATGTGTAAGATAGGAGCTCCTCTCCCTCTCTCCACCTCTCCCTCTCCGTCCTCCCCTCTCCCCCTCTTCCTCCCTCCCCCTCCCTCCCTCTCTCCCTCACCTTCCCACCCTCTCCCCCTCTCTTCCCCTCTCTTCCCCTCTTCCTCCCTCTCCCTCCCTCCCTCTTTTTCCTCTCCTAGAAGTAGGAATGGTGGTCTCTGTTTTTGGGGAAAGAGGGTTAAAAGTCTCCCCAAATTTAAGGGAGAGAGGGTAGAATTTTGGTTGTACAAGTAGTCCTCAGCTTACGACAGTTCATTTGGTGACCATTCAAAGTTACAACTGCACTGAAAAAAGTGACTTACAGCTATTTTTCACGCCGTTGCGGCATCCCTATAGTCACGTGATCAGAATTCAGAGGCCTGGCAACTGACTCATATTTATTTATGAGGGTTCCAGTATCCCAGGGTCATGTGATCAGCTTTTGGGACCTTCTGACAAGTGAAATAGATGGGGAAGCCAGATTCCCTTAACAACTGCGTCACTAACTGAACAGCTGCAGTGATTCACTTAACCGCTGTGTCACAAAAGGTTGTAAAATGGGGCAAAATTCACTTAACGAATGCTTCTCTTAGCAACACAAATTTTGGGCTCAATTATGGTCGGAAGCTGAGGACTATCTAAGTATCTAAGTAATTTCACTTTTTTTATTGGTCTCTTCATTGTTCTCCTAAAGATACATTTCAAGTGTGTGAAATTGCCTTGATAGAGGTATAGATCACCAATGAAATATTTTGTACCAGATTGTCCTCAAATGATACCCCGGAATAGACTTTACTGATTTTTCCTTAGCTCATCCCATTGTCCTACTCTGATAACTTCTTTGAAGTTTTGCATCCACTTTATCATGCAATTTTTAATTTGTTCCATCTCCATCATTTTTTTTCAAACTAAAAAATGCTACCTGCAGCGTTTATTTGTTAAATTCCTTTCAGTGTCATCTTGAGTTCTGACATTTGCATCCCCCATGGAGAGCTGAGTTGATTTTATCCAGTTCCAATAAAATAGCCAATAGATGAAATCAGGCTGGAAAATAGTAAGGGCAGATAGGAGACTTAAATATGTGTCTTCCCTTTGGTTCTCCAAAATGCCTGCTTTGATATCTTAGAGTTGGTTGTGAAAAAAAAAGTTTTTTTTTACTTTTTAACAATCCTCTAAAAAGGAAAAAAAAGTGGAATGGTGTGCATTTCACTTCCCCCATGCTCTCTGCTTTTCAACAGCTTTTATATATAATTATCTTTCGGACTTAACCATGCTATCTGGATCTTAGTCATTGCAAGAGCACTGGGCACATAATTTCTAGAGTTGTTTTTATCAGAATTTGTCCGGAGTTCCGGTGCACAATTAAAAATAAATTGGGCAGTCCTTCCTCTAATGAAGCTGTAGCCTAAACAAATAAGGTCCCATTCTGCAGCTGAGGAAGGATAACACACTTACAGCATCATCGCAGCCTTTGGGCAACACTGCTGGGAAGCCTGGTGCTTACAGATAAATAGATCTCTCCCTATCACAGTGGAACATGCTTTGCTCTGGCTTCTCCTGGAACAGAATGCTTTTGTTTTCAGAATGGTGTCTCAGCAAAGACAGAGTGTTATGGAGGCCATGAAAAAGAAGACTAAAAGAGATAAGCTATGGGGGAATATGTGGCAAAGATCAATTTTCTTCCTGGGAAAGGATTGCTCCAGGATTAGCCACAATCAATCATTAGCCCCTTGGGGAATGGCAGATATTTTGTGAGAACCTCCAAGACAGATATCCAAAATTTCAAAGATGTTCACTGTTCCTTCAGTAAAGTTTGCCTCTATTTGATGCATATCCAAGAATAGAAGAAGACAAAACTACAAGGATTCTCCAAAATCTATAAATCCATGCCCAAATGGGAAGGATTACCTTTGCTTTCTAGTGGCAGTTAACTTAGAAAAGAGAAAGAAGATATAATTATGGGTTAAAAGTACAGAGCTGGTTTCCAACACTGGGTCACACCTGGATGGGTAGTTTTATAAAGCCTGTATTCCCTACGCACGAATATGAATAAATTGGATTGAAGGGCAGCTTAATGACTGATCCCTAATACTACTGCAAGGAGGTTTTTCTTCCACTTTCTGCACCCCGTACTTGTTTGACTTTCTATCCAGCCATAATTATCAGTGTTTTGGAGGTTGTTCCAAAGAATCCAGCAGAACTTCACAATCCAGATTATTGACTCATCCTTGCTTGTTCTGCTGATCCTGATCAATACATCTGTGACTTCCAAGGCCCCTTTAGCTTCTTCTTACCTTCTCAAGAAGAATTTTAATGGTGGCTATAACAATCTCTGTATCTGGTATGGCTGGCATCTGCCTGCACTATTTGAACACAAAATGTTGGATTTGATGGTCTTGTGCTTTGATAATTATCAATAAAAGGTGGGGGACCAGACACGAGGCAGCATATATGGTCATGCATTATTATTTCATCACAGTTAGCTAGGATAAAAGAGAAACACCTGATCTTCTACTAGCACCTGAAGTTGCACATTTGGAAATGTGAGTAGCTGTTTCACGTCGCAGTGGGATTCTACAGCTTGGGCTGGATGGGCTGAGTCCTTGGGCATAAAATTACCTGGATAGGAGGTGCATTCATTAAAGGGACCCTGAATTATTGGAATGCTTTCTTTCTTTGGGACTTTCTTATGAATGTCATATCAGAAGAGCTGTTGCAGTCAGCAGTGGGAGGTGCCAGATATTCCCATGTTGATGCTGTTGTTTGCATTTGCTCTAGAAATTGCATTTGGCAGATGATAAGAGTAGTTATAGCTGACACTACAGGGGCTGAGTGAGCCTTTGAGAGAGAGAACATCTGGAAAAGAGGAACCCACCTTCACTGCTGGATCTAGGCAAGATGCGTGAAATTGTGCATGTCCAGATTGGCCAGTGCGGGAATCAGATCGGTGCTAAGGTAGGACATTGCTTTCATTTGCTGCTAAAAGAGAATGAGATATAAGTTCATACCACACAAAGTGTGATGGAAGTTTGAACAATGTTGGGTGAAGATGCACCCATTGTTGGGTGAAAAATTACATTTGGCCAACCGGCAAAATCTATTAAAGTGTAACTTTTCAACCTGTCAGAAGAGATGATAATGTGAGGTCAAATAATGATTCATTAAGACCAACATTCTGTTTCATACCAGATGCCTCAAGGAAACCTGCATAACTTAAAAGAGATGTTCACTTCTTCCAGTAACGTACTTCCTCTGGAAAACAGGAGTAGCACATAAATATGACAATTAGATTTATTTTTATCCCATTTGTTTGTTGAATCCTTCTTTAAAGACCTATTGTGGTGCGAGTAGAGAAGAAAATGGATGCTGGTATGAAAGAATCATCTTAGAATACAAACAGGGTGAGAATATAGTATATTTAGTAAAAATGGCGAAGGCTAAATAAGTTTAATGATCACAGTTCCATCATGCTGGTATATTCCCTCACCTTCTAAAAGGTTTGTCCATTCTTTGGACAAAATGCTCTGGTGGTGCTTGAGTTTTTCAAAGGAATCATTACCAAGCTATTCTCATAAAGATGTGGCAGAATAAATCCAGATTAGAAAAATAGCATTACAGCATTAATCAGACACTAAAATGATAGTCTGGATTTTAGATCCTGTCAATTCCTGCCAAGAAATTATTATAGACATTTGGAGTCCCCAGGCTGGGAAAATCTGTGAATATTTATTCAGTAGTAAATCTCTCTTTTTAAATGGTAATTACGCCTGTCCTAGTAAATTATATTTTAAAGTTAACAGTATGGAATTATTTTCTTATTGTAAAGAAAGAAAGTTTGAAACAAGTTCTGTATTTCTTTCACTTGCAAATATGTTTGGTTGCTGTAAGTAAGGCAACCTAAGGCATATGAAGAACAGTTGGAGGAACTGGGCTTGGATAGTCTAGTGAAGAGAAGGACCAGGGGAGACATGATAGCAATGTTCCAATATTTGAGGGGCTGCCACAGAGAGGAAGGGGTCAAGTTATTTTCTAAAGCGCCTTTAGGCCAGACAAGGAATAATGGATGGAAACTGAACAAGGAGAGATTTAACCTGGAAACAAGGAGAAACTTTCTGACAGTGAGAACAATCAACCAATGGAACAGCTTGCCCTCGGAAGTTGTGGAAGCACCATCACTTGAGACTTTCAAGAAGAGATTGGACTGCCATTTGTCAGAAATGGTGTAGGGTCTCCCGCTTGGGTGGGGGGTTGGACTAGATGACCTATAAGGTCTCTTCCAACTCTGATTATCTGTTATTTGTTGACCTGGAAACAAAGAAGCTGGCAAAATAATTGGCCAAAATCTAGGCCTGATGTAGATCATATGCTGAAAAATTTTGTTCTAATCATAACTGATAGACATAGCAACTATTTCTTGATGCGTCAGTTATAAATACAGCTAGTCCTCGACTTATAACCACAATTGAGCACAATTTTCTGTTGTGAAGTGAGATATTTGAGCATTGCCCCATTTTACGATCTTTCTTGCCACCGTTGTTAAGTGACTCACTGCGGTTGATAAGTTAGTAACCTGGTTGTTAAGTGAATCGGGCTTCCCCATTGACTTTGTTTATCAAAAGGTTGCAAAAGGTAATCAAATGACCTTGGGATGCAGCAATGGTCATAAGTATGAACCAATTGCCAAGCATATGAATTTTGATCACATGATCATGGCGGCTGCTACATAGGTTGTAAGACTGTGAAAAATGGTCATAAGTCACTTTTGTTCAATGTTGTTGTACCTTTGAACTAAATGAACTGTTGTGTAAATCAAGAACTACCAGTATTTTCTTAGTGATGATGGAAACAGCTCCCTATAAGAACTGAACAAAACTTCTGGAAATAAATGTCTGTTGAATTGCATATTCCAGGCACTCAGAAGGAGAGTGAATTATCTTCTTGCTTTCCTCTGCATTTCCTAATGACTGTGGAAGAATATAGTCTGATTCAGCATGACACTTTTGCACACATCCCAGTTTTGAACTGGAGATTATTTGTAATTATCAAAGTATTCTTTCGATTGCAAACTAAAGGCAAGAGCTGTTTAGAAACCTTGTAGTTCCAAAACAAGGGCGTTCTTGCATTTACACCCTCATAGTCCTAGATAAAGGCTCAGTGGGACTGAATGTCAAAGTGGACATAAAGATAGACATTGTGGGGGGTAAGAATACAATGCCACACTTAGCTTTCTGTTCCAAGTCAATGCTGGATTAGTAAATAGTCTGCCTCATTGTTGTCACTGTGCTTTTGATTCTTACTACAAGCCTTGTTGAAATGAATGGGTGAACAATTAGTAAGGTAATCAGTAATAATTCATGAATAGCATGCAATGCAATTCAAACATCGTGAAGGATGGTCTAAAAACTGAGTTCAGCTATAGGGAGGAAAGTTAAGCAAAGCTGATAAAATGTGTATAGCACAGCTTGGGGAATACTTTCCAACCCTGAGTCACGAATGGACAAAACCTCTCTTTTTATAATAAAGACAGATATTTTATACCTGTGGGTTTGGGTGAATTTCTGCTCTTCCGTCACGTTGCAGTTGTGTTTGTCTACATGGGTGCACAGGGTGAGCTGCACATGCTCTGTTGTAGGTCACATGGCAAAAAAAAAAAGTGGGGGGAGGATTTTTCTGGAGTTTGCAGTCTTCCACCAAATCTGACCCATTTTAAAACTGGACCTTTCTTTTGCAAATTTGGTCTTATTCTGTCCTGCATTGGCAGTTCTGGATGCCATGAAATCTACTTTCTCCCCTTTTCTCCCCACCCGGTTTTGCTAACATGGGAAAGACTTCTCAAGATTTCAGGGAGAGGAATTGACTGATTAAGTGCAAGGAAGGTGGTGTTGACTCTTATTTACCACACTGAGGGAATGGGTAAGGGGGAAAGAGAGAAGGAAGACTGAGAAGACAGCTATGGAGATTCTCGGTCATTGAGGTCATGGATGTCCCAAAAGTGCTTTTTCAAGAGGCAATTGGACTTCCTTGTTTTTCCTTGAAGATGCTTCGCTTGTCATCAGAGAAACTTCTACAGTTCTGACTGAAAAGTGGAGGATGGAAGGATTTATATTCCTTGCAGTCATCTGGTCATCAGCTCTCCTTCTGAGAGGTGTTGAGGCCACTTGGAAGTTTATCTGTGCCCTCAGAGTCATCTGAATAATACAAATGGGTGTGGAATCTTCTTGGAACTGCTGAAAGGACTGTGTTGTAAACAAGAGACAGGTGGACTTCAAGGAATATAAATCATTCCATTCTCCACCATTCAGTCAGAACTGAAGAAGCTTCTTGGATGAGAAGCAAAATGGCTTCAAGGAAAAACAAAGTCCAGTTGCCTTTTGAAAAAACTATCTTTGGGAAGACTAGAGAGAGAAACCAGGATAAATGAGAACCTAGAAGTACATGGAGAACTGCCAGAAGATATCTTAAATGTTCACAACTACCCAAAGCAATCCAAATCCATCAAGGGCAAGGGAATCACTCTACTAACTTGTGGCAAATAACCAATTTTCAGTTTCAGGGTTACAGACAGAGGGAACTGTTATTTCCTGATCTGAGTCACATTACTATTTTTATCTGATTTGTTTATCACCTTGATTGATTGATTTATTGATTAATTTATTGATTGTTTATCATCTTGATTGATTGACTAGAGAGGTGGGGGGAGGAAAATTCATGCATGTGTGTAAGAAGTCAAAGAAAAAAAAGAGAGAGCGTATTCAAATTCCATACATGCTGCCCCATGCAAGAATGCCAGTGATCCAAACCTCTCACAACTTCACCAGGCCAATAAATACAGAAATAACCAGGTGAAATGCTTGTATTGTTTGAGTCTGTTTGTCCTCTTTTCAGTTCTGGGAAGTCATCAGTGATGAACACGGGATCGACACCACAGGAAATTATCACGGTGATTCACCATTGCAGCAGGAAAGAATTAATGTGTATTTCAATGAAGCTTACTGTAAGTAACTGGGCAAACAAAATTTGCTTGCACAGACAATTACAGAGGTTAAAAATAAAACTTGTTTATCAATTATTACTATCGTTTTTACACAAGAGAGTCAAGAGTATCTTAACGGTATTATTATAACACAATCATAAAATGCTTTGTCATCTTTCACGGCCATGAAATCCACTTCTGTTAAGAACTGTTAAATGAGACTTTCCCTGTGGAGAAACTGCTTTGTGTATTAGAAGTGCAGTGTCAAAAATTTCTTAGTTTGTGCTAAACTGGGGCTGGCAAATGATAGACTATATGCTGAATCTGGTCCACTGGCCAGAGAATTCTGGGAGTTGAAGTCTACACATTTTAAAGTTGCCAAGTTTAAGATAATTTGCAACCCAGGCAAAAATGACCATCTTATTATTATGTATTAATTGCTTCCAATATTTGAGGTGGAGGAGAAGGGGTCAGCCTATTCCCCCAACTACCAGAAGGCAAGACAAGAAGCAATGGGTGGGAGCTTATTAAAGAGAGATCCAACCTATAATCAAGGAGAAATTTCCTATCAGTGAGAACAGTTAATCAATGGAATGCCCCCAGAGGTTGTGGGTGATCCATCACTGGAGGTTTTGAAGAAGAGACTGGACAGTCATTTGTCTAGAATGATATAGGGACTCCTGCTTGAGCAAAAGGTTGTGTAGAACAGTGGTCCCCAACCTTTTTTATGCCACGGCCCGGTACCGGCATCAGCTGGGCGCCGCGGCCCGGTACCGGCATCAGCTGGGTGCCGCCATCTTGTTTTGATGAAAAAGTGCTT